CTCACAGTAATTTTTTTTTACACTGGTTAACTCTTTTCCTTCATCATTATTCAGCAATTGATGAATAAATGACGTTTGGTTAAAAAAAATCGGAAATTGCATTAAAGAGGGTTGAAAACTGGTTAAGGAAGTGAAAATGTCAATCAATTATTACTCAATGTCTGAAACAACATTGAAATTATCAAATAAATAGGCGCTGGGAGTCTCATTATATGATCCTGCTTCTTCTGTTTTCAGTAACTGAGCTGTTTTAAAACAAGGTAATTTGCTTACATACTTTTTCATTAATAATTGATTTGGATTTTTTCCAAGTTGTTCTCTAATATGGAGGATTAGGTGTGTCACTTTTAATATAATCATATATTATTTCACTGTTGCGCTGCACAGTGTTAACCAATAGTTTAAGATTATGGCAAAGAACAAAAATGGTATCACTACTACAAATGATTCCAAGATCAGATTTGCTGAGGCAATTCTGAGTTGCATGAGGGCTGCACAGCTGACCTATATACTACTACGCATAGCAGGATGAAGAACAGACGGGCTTGAAATATTTCAGTGGGAAAAGTGCATTAGGAGGAATTTTTCCTGTCGGTATTTGTTCTCCAAATGGAGCTTCTACACAGTAGCATTACTTAAATCGATGTAGACTAAGTGATACAGAAGAGCAAACAAAACATCCGTGATCTGTTTCATATCAAAGAAAACAAAATGTCAAAGTGTCCTAGTGAAAATATAAGAATAATCCTTGTATTTGATATCGTGCCTTTCATATTGGAAAGATATCTCAAAGAGCTTCACATGATTCACTGTAAAATATTGTTACTGTATATTTGTGTAAATAAATGCAGCAGCCAATATGTTCAGAGCAATGTCCCACAAATAGAAAATAGAGGTTTATTATAGAAAGGGATTTATATCGCCAATCATCAAGTTTATATTTTTTTATTCATATATTGTGGATTTTGTTTGTTGGATGTAAGTTGCTCTTTCAAAGGAAATATTTTATATGGGAGGTGGGTCGGTCACCCGAGGATACAGATTTAAAATAGTTGTTAAAAGAAGCAGTGGGGAGGTGAGGAGGCGTTTTTTCACCCAGCAAGTTGTTCGGATTTGGAATGCATTGCCTGAAAGGGTGGTTGAAGCCGATTCGATAACTACTTTTAAGAGAGACGTAGATAATTATTCGGGGAGGACAAGTTTGCAGGGCTATGGGGAGAGAGCAGGGGAGTGGGATTGATTTGGATAGCTCTTTTCAATGACACGATGGGCCGAATTGCCTCTTTCTGTGCTGTATAATTCTATGATTCCATGGCCTTTTTTTACATAGATTCAGAGTAAAAACTAACCAGAAATACACGGTATTTTATTGGAATCTTCTTTCATCTTTCACACAACTTTGCTTAATAGTGGTTTTAGATGTTCTGTAATCAAATTAGATTTACATCTTAAACAGACCATCAAACATTATGAGCAGTGCCCTACTGTGTTCCAGGAAACAAGATTTTCAATAGTCCAAAAGCAGAAAGACATTAAAGGAATCCAAACTCATTTTAGCACTGCAAATACACAGGCAGAATGCACATGAGATCCGAAGAAACATTGGATTGGAATTTAATGTGCTTTAATCTATGACTGAGAAGTATTTGATAGCTGAACGTTTCATAAAGGCAAGGTTGAAGCATTAGCCACAGAACTGCTTTCAACGTTGTTATTAGTGTCAAATAGTGAATGCTACAAAGGTAATTTGTAAATAGCATTTTTAAATGTTGTACAGCACACTATGACATTTAAGGACCAGCAATTTGGGGTCAAAAATAAGCATTCATTCTGATTTATATAAATTGCATGTTATTGGCATTGATCTCTGCTGCAAAAAAACTTTCAATCACTTTCATAATCTTAAAGTATGCCCAGCTTCTTTTCTGTGTTAGATTTAATTAGTTCCTTTGAGCAGCTGGGAAATGATGAGATAATGATAGCCAACTTTAATAAGAAATGGTCAGTAGCCCATTCAACTCATTCAACTTCTGCCTTAGGATCTCATTTCACCACTTCACCACATCAATATCCGATTCCAAATTCATATCCATCTGAATCAGAAATTGATTCAATTCCCCTTTGTTTACTTCAGTGGTCAATATTTACTGCATTAGATGACAATCTGCTCTGTGAGAACATTAAAAACAAGAAAAACTATTAGGTAAAATGCCTGCTCCTCCTGAGAACCACAACAAAACCCATGGCGTTCATCCGATTATCCCTTGGTGAAAAGTCCTGCTTATAAAGAATAGAGGGGTATAGGAGAGGGAAATTGGAGGGGTGGGAGCTAGTGTGCGGTATAAACACTAGCACAGAATAATTGGTGCAAGTTGCCTGTTTATGTGCCATCATTTTATGTCATTCTGTGTAATTCCCTATACGTTGTCCATAACCTCCAAAGGTAGTGAATTATCCATTATCAAAATTCATTTTTGGCCTCCTTCCCTCGAAGACCTTCCTTGCCCCTATCTAATTCCTTTGTCCCAGCGTCGTGGAATGTTGTCATCATGAATGTCCTTCTAATCTTAGTTTGGCAAAAAAAATACGTCTCTATAACCAACTCATGTATGACCCATTTAATCAGATTCGACTTCATCCTCTTTGTAATGAGAATAGATTTATTTTTCTAAGCCTGTCTTCAAAGCTAATGATCTAAAATCAGCTCTGATGCTCTTCCTTGAATCCTTATCAGTGATTTTCTGCAGTATTATAACTGCACTTGGGCATGAGTGTTAACCCACTAAACCAGAGGTTCTCAAGCTGTGCGGCACGCCTCCCTGGTTATCTGCCTCCTGGGGGTCCCGGGTTTCACAGGACTGGCCCTACTGAATGTTTGTGATTCACTAGTTAGTTGCAGTGTCGCTTATAGTCTTTCTAAAACACTTGTTACTTTTCACTGAACATTGTCTTAGCCACATAGTGTATTTGAAAATTAAAGACATTTAAAACTATCATCAAGATCGCAATGACTTATATTAGCACTAAAGTTACTTGCACTCAACTTTCTTTTCAACTGCTGTAGATTCAACTTATTTTGTTTTCTGTAACAATATTTTATTTATTAGGGCTAATTGTTATTTATTGTCCCTTAATATAGTTGTAGACTTGTTTTTTATTTTCTCATCAGTCAGGTATATTCTATGGTAATGGTCAACACATCTGTTGTTCAAGTGTAGTTAATGCCATATTCTTACAATGAATATAACCATCGGAGTACTGTTCTTACATAACATTGAACTTATGTGAATTAGATGCTGTGGCTTTCTATTGGAAGCAATCTGAACAACTGCTGCAGTTGAGCGGTCAACTTCAGTCTATTACATTTCAGTGTATAATTATCTATATTTATAATATACAATTGATATCCCTCCCGTTCATTTCTATATCCAGTGCCATATAAAATGTAACATTTTCCCCATCATTTAAAGACTGGGTGATCAATGCCAGATCCCTATAAACAATTATATTTTGCTTAGGAGCCAGATTGTTCTTTAGTTTCAGCACATTCTCAACAAAGTCATACATTATTCTCATGGTATGCACACACTGTGTGGTTTAAGTACTGGTTGGGAGCAAATCTTGGTCAGTGGGTAGCCTGAGTGACAATGTTCTGGTAGGTTTGACAGTTTTCTAAATATAATAGTTACTGTTACTAGTTTAGAAATAGGACTTGATATTGAATTGCCACAGATTAAGCCTTTGTACACAATCTTCTCAGATTAAACCATTTTTCCATCGTGACTTGGTTCACTTAAAAGAAACACACAGAAGAGCCATGCATTATATTTTTCACAGTGAAATTATTTCAAAGTGACAATGTACGTCAGTATGAGTGCATTTGTAAAGAAAGGAAAAAGATTTGCCTCACTTATTTTTAATGAATACAGTGCATCTTTAAGGTATTTCTCAGTAGCTCTATCCTGAATATATGGAAAGATATGTGAGAAATGGAAGAGCATTAAGGCTAAGTTTACAATAGCCAAATCAAGTGAAGTGATTTGCCTATTGAACCTTTCGTCAAATAGAATAATGATGTCAGTGCTGAGCCTGGATCAAATGACATTAGCAGGTGATTTTTTCATTGTTGAAAAGTGGAGAGGCCCAGAGAATAAGTTCCACAAGTAAATGAAGGAAGATAGTACCAGGGGATGTAATACTTCTGAAACAAGACAGATCACTGTATATTGGTTTCAGTATTAGCTGAGGCAATCTGACATTCTCTGGGTTGCATATGGTGGTTTTATCATTATTGGTACTTTGTGGTTATTATTAATAAATAATTGCTGTATATATAATTAATTTTTTACCTAATAGAATCTTCATTATTTACTAGTAAATTTTTTTGGTTTCATATAAGTAACTAACTATTCAAGCAATTCCTTTAAAACAGGAAATGAGGGTGTTACAATCAGCATTGGTAAAGGAAGTCTTGCTCAGTGGTTTGAGATGGGGGAAGCTTATTGAAAAGTAGAATAATACAATTGCTAAGGTACACCTTAATGAAAACAGGAAATACTGCAGCATGGATGGAGAAACAGATTGAGAAACAATGGAACATTTATATCTCCAGTATAAAATGGTTTAATTTTGTTTTGACAGATCTACGTTATTTTTGTTTCTTTCTGCAAAGAACCAAATCATTTATCTAAATGGAGACTACTTCTATTATTATTGCAACATTTTGCTAAGTGGATCATAGAGTGTTTCTAATGCCAGTTGTTCAAAATTCCTATATTGTGTTTTGGTAATGCTGAGCCAAATACCCATTGTGAATAACATTGTGAATAACATGGATAGCACAGAATAACATGCACTTAATGGTTATTGGCTTTTAAATTTGTTGCATTTTGCTAGCAGTTCAATATAGTGATTTAAAATGAAATGATAATAGTATATCAGTTCATTTGTTCTTCAATAATAGTATGTTAACCAGACTGTTCTTTTTTTAAAAAAAACAGGAATCTGAGTAATAACAAGATTTCACTGCTGAAGAATGGCTCTTTCTTTGGCCTTGGTTCTCTGGAGAAATTGTAAGTAACTGATTACTATACCTTGTCCTGTTACATTTTATACATGTAATTTTTTTTAACCTATGTAATGATTGATAGGCAATCAAATTGAAGGCAGTTTAAAAGTATTCGTTTTCTTTGTGTGTAAGGGATCATGAATGGCAACTCTTCAACTAATGGAAAGGAAGCTGCATAGATGGATTGTGTATTAAGAGAAAAATATGCAGGAAATCACCAGTAATTCTAAGTGAAATAAACTCCAAACATAAGGTGAATGGATGCTGTGTGCTCTTATTTTTCTTTCCAGGTTGCAGTATTTTAACTCTTGAGGGACTAATGGCTTCTTCTCAATGCCATTGCCTTGAGGCATTTGTTAAGCTGTGTGGTTTCTGACAAAAATATTTGTGAAACACCACATGGGACATAGGTTTTTTTTAAATGTTTCCCTGTTTTGTAGGTTCTTTTCTACTTTTAACTTTATTCTGTCTCACGCATATTTCCATAGCCAAGACAGCAAAAGCAGACAGCTTGTTCCAAAGCCTCTGCCACAATTGACGTGAATTGTTCCACCCTCCAGCTTCCCTTTCGTCCCTCTGGGGAATACTTCCACATTTCACCACCAATGATATCACCTCTCCTCCCTCAGATTGCTTGGCGAAGTATGGAACTTACTATGTGAGGAACTTACTACCCCTTGGAGCAGTGCATCAGTATAAATGGCATGTTGAAGAAATTTGTTTCTGAAGTTGTTATTTCAGTGAATATGATTTACTCCAGCACTCAGTCCTTCTTGATCATAAGAGCAAGTAGGAGTTTTCAGTTGACCCTCAGGAACTCTGCTCCAAACGTAGGTTTGTGTTAGAGAAGAATTCCTGCAGATCGGTGTGTCATTTAACAATTACGGTAAAGGAATCCCCACTTGCATGACTTGGATTCCTTCTTAGGAATCCTGTCAATTCCTTAGTAAGAAATACTGCAAATTAGACCTCACTCTTTTCTAGGCATCTTGATATTTATAAAGACAAAGAATGTGCAGCATGGAAACAGACCTCTTGGCCCAACCAGTCTGTGCTGGTGTTTTTACTCCACATGAGTCTTTGTTAATTCCTTACTGACTCATGTGAAGGTCTCGGTTCCTCTTGAATGCACCTACACTAACTGATTCAACCACTGCTTCAGACAGTAATTTCCACAGTCTCACTACCCTCTGTGTAAAGTAGTTCCTCTTAAATTATCTTTTAAATCTCCCAGTCACTATCTTATATTTATGTCCCCAAGTTACGGATCTCCAACTAGTGGAAACAGTCTATTTATGTTAACCTTATTGAACACTTTTATAATTTTAAACATTTATTTTAGGTTTCCCCCTTAAATATCTCTTACATCTACAATTTATTTCAGTGTAATCTGGTTCCCATTGGAAACCAACATCATAGAAACAGTGGAGGAGGTACACAAAATCTTTTGAGTTGTATGTGGGTTACCTTTCATATGGAGGGGTTGTAGGTTCATATAGTATGAAGTTAAATTCTTGGGCATAGTGAATTCCAATTACCAGAGACATGCCACACTAACACAATGTCGATGTAATGCATTCCAGCTGGTAAAGATGGTAATATTTTAGGGGCACCTTGGGCAGTGATAATAGTCAGGCTAGTAGAGGCAGGGGCATTAAATGATTCTGGCCCTAGCTTTTCAATTGGGCCAATGTCTTGGACCCAAGCTGCTTCACTGATCCCTACCAGAAGGTAATTAAAATTGATACATTTAAAGTGGAATTAAAGTTTAGCAGTAAAGTTGTTCCTTTTATTACATTTCCTCTTCTCTGCAATTAATTACCTGAATGTTTCTCAGCTGTTTCTAGTTCCTCTGGTCCAAAAATTCTGTGCTCACTCATTTAAAAAGATTACAGTGAGAATCGCTCTGGATGAATAGGGACTGCTGTTGCTGTAACCCATATTAAGATATGCAATACTATTTTTCTCATACTAAATATCTCTAGCGTACAAATCACTCCAATGCTGTTATCTGACAACACATCAGTTTTGTACAAATTGTAACTTTACAACTAAAAATATGAGCCACTAGGGGAAATCTTAACTTTTCACAATAGTGTGAAAAACCTGAATCTGCTCAAGTTGGCCAATCTGTTTCCATCTATTGTAATGACATAATTTTCCTACTAAGAAATATGCATCAAATTCACTTATGATATTTTGATGTCGGCAAAATCCTGTTGTACACGGGTTCTACCTCTAGTCAGGTTATTTGAGGTTAATGTGTACATTGGAGATTCGGTGCATAACTTACATCACCAACTTCACATTTTTCATTCATCAGAAAATAAATATTCCTCACTTCCTATGGGAGATGCTCCAACAAAGGCTCCATTACTTAAAGGAGAATGGTGTCACTCAGTGCTCTTGTGAAGAACACAAATCCACAATGACATAATTCTCCTTAGCAGTTGGAAACAGGTAAAATTCATAGCAGTGATTGCGAGTTTCAAACAGCACAATAAAGGAATAGCATTCCTCCATTCTCTAGCAGTCTAACTGAGAGTGCACTTCTGATTCCAGCCAAACTAATCATTTGCATCTTGTGTCTTCCTGGTGGCCGAGTGATAAGTAGTGACCCGATTCCTGGCACATGCATGTTCTGTGGCAAGCTCAGAACCTTCAAGCACTGGATATCAGCTTTTGTTTCATGAATGCTTGAATGTCAAGTCTCCAAAGCTGAAAATCCCCCTCTTGCTCTACTGCCCTTCAAACTAGTTAAGTCAATAATCATCCTGCACTCGAGGCGTGGAGTGAAATGGCATACTCTCCAACTGTTGACTTTTTAAAATTGAAACATCATAGATTGTATATACGCCATGTGGTAACTTAGCTATAGTAAAAACATTAAATTAATGTGACTGAATAATAGCATCTGGCAGCTGACTGAAGACCAGAGAAAGTACAGGGCACAGAAACTCCCTCTCATTGCGAGACCTGAATGTTTTATAGGACTAATTGCTTACAGGTTTCATGAAGTGCCTCATTAAAGAGGAAAGAGCCAGTCAGTGACATTTTTCATCATCAATCCCTCTTGGTTATATTGCATCTTTTAAAATGAATGTTTGTTGGCTTCTTTTTCCACATTTGAAAGCTCCGAGGAAGGCTATGGGAAGATATGAAAATATCACTGTAGTCTCTCATTTCTCCAAAACTGGGTCAATCTAAACACTTCTTGAGTGTTGCACGTCAAACACAATAAACCCCTTTGTCTTTAAAATCTCACAGTTTAAAATCCATCCGAATGTGTTTGTTTGGAGAAAATTCTCACATAGAATTATTTATGGATTGTTCCTTGTGTAATTGCTAAATCTGGTTGTCATTGGTAAAAACATTAACTCAGGGGAGACATTAAGACCAGAGAAAGGCAGGGGTGCATCAACACTTCAGAAGCACCTCAGGACAGGAAACAAGCATGGTACCCACTGAAATACACTTTATAATTAGCTTCCCCTGGTGTTCTGAAATCTATCACAGTACTCATGGAAGAATTGTGTTCAAATAGAATTATTGGGTGGAGTTGATTTTTAGTATAATGCTGAAGATATATTGGCTTATAACTGTTATTATCCATCAAACTGCACTACAGACTTATATTTGTAACAATCAGTAAGAAGCAGCATGAATAGATTTAGTCTGTTACCTCTTTTAAGGTTTGTTGCTTTTTTCTGAGTTGTGAAAAGCTTGATTGTACTGCCATGGTTTTATTTATTTACTGAGTGTTCCACACATAACTGTATCTTGAAATCCAAGTTTCATCCAGAGATCTGCTGAAGAGTTTTAAATCCAATCTCAGGCCATGATTTGCTTAGGTGGACTATTATGTGTATATCCTGGCCTGTGAATCCCTAGGAATCAGTCTGTGAACGGAGAGCTAGAGATTGTTACAGTAACTTCATACTATCCAAAATCAGCCTTGTGTCCTCATGCCAACAATCCTCAGAAAAATTTAGGTAACATTATATATCAATGATTCAAAGTATAAGTTGCAAAATTGTTTTTTTAAACAGTACTCTTCAGTTAATAATAATCCTTGCATTTGATATAGCGCTTTTCACGTCTTCCAGACATCTCAAAGCGCTTCACAGAATATACTGTAAAGTGAACTGACTGTATATTTGTGGGCAAAATGTGGCAGCCAATTGCGCACAGCAGTGTCCCACAAACAGTCGTGGATTGAAAATGACCAATTTATTATTGTTTTGTTTTTTGGAGGGATTATTATTAGTTCCATTGTACCAGTCATTTAACAAACAAATCAAGACTGGAATTGATTTTTTCAAGCTTGCCCCCCACCCCTTATCAGCATATGAGGAGAAATTAAAATTTTGGTACATTGACATGGGTTGACTGGCTTCTCTTTTCACCTTGTACATATGCTGCTGTGAAACTATTTACTTCTCCCTCCATTTCTTTTTGGTTGTTTCCCTTCTATGCAAGCTCTGCGTCTAACCAACATTGGGTTTATCTCCATTTCAGATAAATTTCTTTCAGTCAGAGTTGTGCAAATGTTTTGGTGAGCAAAAAGAATCTATTTAGACAAAGAGGACTGAAAAGTACTCTGGGCATCTTAATAGGTTGTTTTTGCTCTGCAGTGTTGGGCAAATTAATTCAGTGCTGTTTGTATTTTCAAAAACAACCTCATTCAAAATCCGTGTTCAATGAGCACATCACTGAAGAGGAATATTTAAAAAAAAATACAAACATTTGGGCCACAGCAGAACTTTCCCTTTGACTAGCTTGGCAATGCAAAAGCAAGATTTTTGAGCAAGCTCTATCAAGAACTGAAACTGCCTGAACATCTCACTACTCCCGAATGCAATTCCAGAGCCAGGCAGGCTGATCAATCATCGACAGTGCCATGGAGTACTGCTGATCTGTCTGACTCAGGTATTGGGTCTCAGAGTGCAACAATGAGAGTTGACTCAGTTCTACTCCCCTTTCATGAGGTATGTTAACATGGAG